CTCTCTCTCTCTCTCTCTCTCTCTCTCTCTCTCTCTCTCTCTCTCTCTCTCTCACATGTCACACATCTTTCTTTTTCTTTATACAAGTGGGTTATTATACATACTATTCTTTTGTTCTGTTCCTGTTCTTTTTTTCTGTTAACCACGTATTTTAAACATTTTTCCATATTAGCATAGAGCTAGCTAAGTTTTAACTGTTGTGGAGTACTCCATTGTATGGATGTGCTGTAACAAGTTATGGCAATGATGAATATTTATATATTTAAAGCACTATTGTAAAAACTGGATAGGTATAGTCATGTTGCCTTCCATAGCAGTTGAAATAATTTTTATTCCCACAGTTTGAGTGACTGTTTTCTCACACTCTTACCAATACTGATTACCAAACTTTCAAGTCTTTGACAACCTTCTAAATGAAAACGGGTATTTCATTTAGTTTGTATATGTTTTTAACTGTGAATGGGCTTGAGCAATTTTTAGTTTCTTGGCCATTTGTATTTTTTTCTATTCATGTCCACTGTCCAAGATTTTTATTAAACTATTTAAAAAAATTGGCTACTAACTTTATAAACTACATATAAAGTTTAATACTGATTAAGGTTAATATATAAACTTATATAGTTAATTATATGTAGAGTTTAATAACTTTTTTCTTAATGAATTCTGGATGTTGTGTGCTTGTGTGACTTTCCAAATTAAGATTATAAAAATTTATACCTGTGCTTGAAATATGTTTATAGGTTTACTTTTGAACTCTGACTTATTTGGAATTTATTTTAGGATAAAGAATAAAGGTGGAGGTCTAGCTTTATTTTTCCCCCAAATGGTTTGAGTTATTATATAATGCTCTTAACAGTTTAATCTATTTCCCCTTACTGATTTAAAATACCACTTTTACCATATAATAAATTTCCACATGCATTTGAGTCTTTTCCTAAAATCTATTTTTTCATTAATCTATTTGTGCATCGTACTGAAATGTTTTAGTGACTGTAGCTTTATAATATATCTGATAGTTTTAGTTTCGATCTATTACTTTTGTGTTTTTTATAATTTTCCTGGATATCCTAATATGGTTACTATCATTTGTTGGATTCTAAAAAACATTTTGACTGGATTCACATTTAATTCATACATTAGGTCAAGGAACACTGACATCCTTATAATACTGAGTCTTCCCATTAAAAAACAACTTATATCTGGAAAGTTATTCAAGTCAAATGCATTTTAAAGTTTTTTTCATTTAGATCTAGATACTTCTTGTAAAACTTACATCTGAATACCTTTTATCTTTTTTGTTGCTACCGTAAAAGTGATCTTCGCTTCCTTTATACTGTTGAACTGGTTACTGTTTGCATATAGAAGATGTACTGATTTCTGAATATTGGTTTTGTAAGTATAATTTTACTTGTAATATTTGCAAAAAGTAAAACATTACCTTTGCAAGTCCAGGGCTTCATTTGCAATATCTGTCCCGATACTACCAGCACCGAGCACTGTCCCAGTGCACAGTCCAGGCACACTGACACAAGGCTGCCTACAGGATTCTAAACGACAGCAAAAGGAAAAATTCAACGGAGGACTTTTAAAAAGTATATAACTTTGGTTGATATCTTTCTTTCAAATATTTCTATCTTTAAAAGAAACAGACTAGCCACATCCTAAAATGTTAGAGACATTCATGCTTGCATTACCAACATAATTCATGATGGTTTAAGATGTTTATTCAAGAGTATATGAAGCAAAGGTGTAGAAAGTCACTGAGGGCACAATCATGACCTGTAACTCTTGAGTACAGACAGTTCCTTCCCACTTTAATATTGATTCTAAAGCCAGAGCAATACTTAATATTTCCTAATATTTTTATTTATGCACGTGATACATTATGTAACTCCTGTGGTGAAAAACCAACACAGACAAGCAAAAACTCCCCATTAGTGCTTTTTATTAATGTGTCCAACAGATACCCTATTGGGTGCCGTGAAGTACAAGGAATAGACGACGGAGAAAACACCGTCCCTACTCTTAAAGACCTCACAGCCTGTGGCCAGCCCGCTGAGCGCACAACGAACGCAACACGTCAGACTGTAAGAGGCGGGACCCACGCACTGCGGCATTCCGAGGATAACTCAACCCACAGAAGTCTTTTCAACTTCACCTTGAAATTTTTACCTCTCCAAGACAGAAACAGATGGCACCAGTAATGAGAGTCTTAGTAATTAGTTTCCATCGTCTAAAACTAAGCTCACCTTCAAATGATCGAGAGCTGCAAGGAAGTAACGACGCTTCTCCAGTCTCACTGTGTCCCCTAGAATTTAGAAACACCAGAAGTGACTTTTTTTTTTTAAGGTGAAGGAAACTGTTAAAGTAACTATATTAAGCTCTTTGTATTTAATGCGTTATTTCTTGACCCATTTGTTTTATAGACGCATATTGTGAATATCACCACCAGAGATCAAGGTACTAATGTGCCAAGTACCAAATGCCCTGTGACCCTGTAAAGTAGGCGCTGTCGTAGCTACAAACTCTCAGTTCACACACTAACGATCAGAAGGCAAGGGTTACTGGGACGGTCAGCGGATGCTGCTGGAGGTACTAAGCTCTCGGAGCTTTTTTTAAAAGCTTAATACTGTAGATAAGGAAATAGGTTTGATGAAACATTGTAGCAATTTCACTCACACACACACACACACACACACAAAAAAAAAAAAACACAGAAAAAGGACAATATTTAGAACAGGGCCATGCTAGCATATTGAGCAAACGAGGAAAAGCTGGCTCTTCCTTCAGGCTGACAGCCATAGACCAGGCTGGCAAGCAGCCCTCGGGCTGGACTTCTGCGCATCCAGCCACCCAGTGCCCCTGCACAATCCCTGTGGTGCCCAGGCCTAGGAGATGGGCATGCAATATGGTGTGGGCGACAGAACAATCTCTTACAATGATGTACGGTTTAAAGCCACATCCCCATCACTTAGTGACGGGGTAAGGCAAAGCCATGGAGGCTAGGAAGGAAAGGCTTGAATAAATACCTTTACTGTCATATTTTATACTAAGCAAAAAGGAATATATTTAAAAAGGGTGATCTTTCAGCTTAATTCTGAGAACTAATGCCAATGGACAGTGAAAGAATTACTCAAAGTATATCTCAAGTTGTAACATAAAGCCAGAGGGTCATACAGTGTTAATGGGTAAGGTGAGAAGAGGGAAGCAAAGATATTCATTTGAAATTAATAAAAGGTCTTACCAACATAAAAAATTACTTACAAAACTAAAGTGTTGACAGACACAATATATTCCAGTTCTTTGGTCCAAGGATTTGTGAAACTAAACCACTGGCTTTTTAAAGTTACAAAAGAGCCATCTTTTGCTCTGAATTTGTATGAATCTGTAAATATTTTCTCTTTACTCTGTAGAACTTAACAAGAAAAGATAGTAATCAGCATAACGGTCTACCACTATATAAATCAAACTTTTGAGGGTTAATTCAAGTTTTAGATTTCACAGGAATGAGAGATTAAAAGCTGAAGCTGCAATTAGAAAGTACCAAAACCTTACCCCACTCAATGCATACCTGCTTTGTGCTTCTTACTCAAATTACTATGGTCATCTTGATGAAAGTATTCATAACAAGAAGTTCCCAAAAGTTCCTGAGGCAGATATCCTAAAATTGCTGTTGCTCTGGTTTTAAAATAAAAAATAAAAAAAAGAAACTTCAGAATTGGTGAACAAACTCCCCTCTAGAATACTGCAGGTCCATACGTGGTCAGGATAGAGGAGAAGTGGACTGGGTGCTGAGTACCCCAGTCGCATCACTGGGCTCCCTTTGGCTCCCTAGACCCAGACTAGAGCTGCAGAACAGAATGGACACCCAGGCCCGAGGCTACTGCAGAGGACACCACCCAGTCTAGAGTGTGCTTTTCCTACCATTCACCAACAAAACTGTGGCCAGAGACCATGCCGTTTCTACACCACTGGCTAAGAAATATTCCACACTTACATTTTGGCTTGAACAAATTTACTGATATATCCATATTGTTATTTCACTTAAATTTTATCTCCTGTTCTGAAGCCTTAAGAGAAAAAGTCCAACAGTACTAAGCCACATTTTAATAGCCTTAAATATCCCATTGAACTCTAATCCTTAAGGCACATAAATGTTACCTTTGGTCCACGTAGACAATTTTTCCATTCATTGCAAAACGGGTTATAAATTCAGTTGGTTTCACTTTAACCTCTCCACTGTTCTGTGGGACAATATGTGGATGTAATCTCCCAATGGCAACGAGGCAGGTGAAATTATTGTCTTTCTTACTGTCCCTTTCTTCTATCCCAACAGTATCTGTAGGCCAGCTTCTCAGGTAACCAGTGCAGTGGACAGTACAGAATTTTCTAGGATCTAATTCAAAAGTTTTTTAAAAAGAGCATTTGTCAATTACATCTCAATAAAACTGGAAAAGCAGATAAACTAGCATTTAAATCATGAATAAATTCTTAAATTTCTTACATTGACATTTATATTAATTATAATTGTGCCATGAAATATTCTTTAAAGATGCTACAATATGAAAGGGGAGTAGTATTCCATTGAAAAGAAATCATCACTTGTGTTTAACAACTTTATTCTTAATGGGTTATTTTTCTCAGGAACTAAACTATATGTACTATATCAAAAAGTAAGCAGAATGCTTTAATTTAGGTTTAAATAGGTTTATAAGTCTTTATTTCTAAGTCAATTTTTAAAAGTACAGTAATTTATATCTGTTAGAAAGTTAAACTTCATGCTCTCTTGCTCTTAGCCACAAAGATATTGTTTTCAGCTTATTAAAATTTTGATGTAATTTCTATTCCTAAGTTTAAAGGATAATTATGCATACATTCTTAAATTTCTTATGTTAGCACTTATAAAGGTTACAACAGATTCTAGAAAAAATTTAGAGAACATTTGGAGAAATTTATAATAAAAGGTATAATAAAAATAAAATTTGACTCAAATTTCATTTTCAGAAAAAAAATCCTAAGCAATTAACTCATAGAAAAAAGCTTGTCAAACAGGTCCAACCAGAAAAATACAAAATGGAAAATAATCCATGTGCTCAGATATCAGGAACTGCTTAAGAAAACAATGAAATGCAACACAGGCATAAAAGACAGGAGTATACAGATTATGGCAATTCACAAAAAAAGTGAATTAAAGGTTAAAAATAAGAAGGGGCTGGTAAAAATTACTTCAACAGGTTGTGATAACTCAGAAAAGACCAGAACAGTCACTGTTTTCATTTGGCACTTTGTTATAAGACTATTACAATTCTTAAAAAAATTTTTTTTAAATAGAAGATATGGGCTGTCTTACAAAATAGCAACTAATAGTAATGGCAAAGATTACAGAACACTTTATGTGCTATCCTCTGTTTTAAGTGTTTTCAATGTATAATTCACTTAATCTTAATAGTCCTGTGAGGTACTGTAATATTATCCTCGTTGTGTTAGGAAACTGAGGGTTAACACCAAGGTCACGGTAGGGAAGTGTGGAGCCAAGGTTTACGCGCAGACAGGCTGGCTGCAGAGCTCCCTTTCCGAGCCACTGATGCCCTGCTATTGGATGCCAGTGAGTGCCCTGTCGCAGGTGTCCACACAGGAGCTGCCTGGATAGTGGAGGGGGAGGGGTACAGAAAGGTATTCCAGGGAGAGGGAACAGCCACTGCAAATTGAGAGTCGAGACAGTAGCAGTCAGATGTGGCTGAAGCCCAGTCTGCGACGGGGAAATGGAGATAAAGCAGGCAACTGAGTTTGACTCCCGTAAGCTGTGCATAGGGCTGTGTGCTCAACACCCAGCACATATGGCCCCCTCCATGGTCCACACACACCTTAAATCACAAGTCCTTCTCTCTTCCAACCCCAAACCAAGTTTATCACATATTCCTCATCCTGTTTAATGTCACTATAACCAACTCAGGTAAGCAGGCTGTCTCCAAAGGCCAGAGAAAGAGGTCCAGCAGAGAATCACAGCTGTCAGGCAGTGGGAACCAGACGGTATGCCCTTGAAGGGGTAGGTGCTGAGAGGATGTGTCATGTGGCACTGACAGGTCTGCCACACCTGCACAAGAGGCCAAAGGAGTCTGGGTGCGTTACTGTATTACTGATAATCTCACCGAGATAAACTTAAGAAATATCTAAGAGGTTTGGAAGCAGTCACCCATCCTTCATCAGGCTTTGATTTCACAAGTTGAGATACATGAGAAATCTTATCCCTACTTAGAAGCTTTTTGAAAGTCTGAATCTATGACATTACTTTTAGAATCAGGGTAAAAATTATGTTTTTAGTGTCAATCTTGCTTATTTTTAAAAACTTTTATTATAGAAAACCTCAAATGTACACAAAATCAGAGAGCATAGTATAGCTGACCCTTGAACAATGTGGTGGGGGTGGGGGGTTAGAGACACTGATCCCCCAGCAGTCGAAAATCTATGTATACTTCTGACTCCCCCAAAACTTTACTAATAGCCTATTGTTGACCAGAAGCCTTACCAATGACAAGTCAATTAACACATATTCTGTACATTATATGTGTTATATACTGCACACCTGTAAGAAAACTAAAGAAAATCATGAGAAAATACATTTACTGTATTTACTGAAAAAAATCTGCATGTACACGCAGTTCAAACCCATGTTGTTGTGACTCCTGGCTAATTTTGGAAATTGCTTTTCCATAAATCTTAAACTCAGTTTCAGTTAGCATTAAAAAGGCTGCTTTATGCTCTCCTTTTTTAATATTTAAATGTAACTAAGACAAAACTATGGAGACAAAAGACTAGTGTTTGCCAGGGATGGTGGTGGAGAGAGATAAATGAGCGGAGCACAGAGAATTTTTATGAAGATAAATGAAGGTACTTTGTATGATATTATAATGATGGAGATATGTCATTATATATTTGTCTAAGCCCATAAAATGTACAATAGCGAGAGTGAACCCTAAGGTAAACTATGGACTTTGGGTGATTATGATATGTCAATGTAGGTTTCATCCTTGGTAAAAAATATACCATTCTGGTGCAAGATGTTGGTAAGGGGGAAAGCTATGCATGTGTGGGGGCCAAGAATATATGGGAAATCTCTCTACCTCCCTCTCAATTTTGTTGCAAACCTAAAACTGCTCTAAAAATAGTCCTAAAAATAACAAAAAAATTAATGTAACATGTCATAGTAAAAGGGAAGAAAAATACCTTTATCAACTTTCATTATTAACGGAATAGTCTTAAAACAGTCAATTACACTGGCTAATCACTATTGGAAAGAATGACTTAGTAGCAACTATATGCAAAATGTGTATTTCACTTGACATTCTCCCTGGTTAAAGCACAATGCAAAATGATCTCATGAGCGGGAAGTCATCCATGTGGCATACCAGGATTCCACTGTGCAGTTACCTTATCCTGGTCCAGGTATCTGTCTACATGTCTGTCTGCAGGCAGTTCTCAAACACCAGGCACTGCAAGGAAGGGCCGAACTGATTACTAACATATGCCCTTACCATTCCTTAGGCCAAAGAGGCCTCATGCCTTTGGCCCACAGCTCTGGAGTGTCAAGTGAATACGTGGTTCAAGTGCTCGAGCAGATGAAAAGGTCCTTTTTTGAGAAGCCACTTGACTCTCATTGCAGACGTCTGTGGCCCAGCTTGATGTGGGAGTGAACCTGTGTGTGGGAAGCCAACCCCTGCTGTGTCTCCACTGCAGAAATCATCTAGAATGGATCTCTTTCATTAATAAGCTTTGTCAATCTAAGAAGCTACTCTAGTAGGTGACATGGCAGAGTGGAAAGAATACAGATGTTAATGCTAGATTTCTGAGTCTGCCACTTTCTATGACTTTAGACAAATTATATAACCTTTTTAGGCTTCAGGTTCCTCATCTGTAAGATGGGGGGGAGGGGTTGCACCATACTGTTCTGCTGATTAAATTAGGACTTGGCATATAGATGTTAAATAATTACTCTTTTTTTTTCTCTCTCTTTATGTTCCTTCTTTTTTTCAAGTCACAAATAATGGCTTTCATTTCCGAGTGCTTACTAGGAGACAAGCGCTGCATTTGCCACATGTAATCCTAACCATACTCCCATGAGCTATATATTATACCTATTTTATCAGTCTGCTGGGACTACCATAACAAAATGAAACAGGATGGGTCACTTAACCAAGAGAAATTTAATTTTCTCACAGTTCTGGAGGCTAGAAGTCCAGGATCAGGGTGTTGGCAGTTTGGTTTCTCCTGAGGCCTCTCCTTGATTTGCAGACAGAAGATTTCTCATTATGTCCTCACATGGCCTCTTCTCTGCGTGTGTGCATGCCAGGTGTCTCTCCCTCTTCTTATGAAACACCATTCTTATGACCTTATTTAACCTTAATTACCTCTTTAAAGGCTTATCTCCAAGTACAGTCACATTGGGAGCGAAGGCTTCAACATACGGATTATGGGGAAACAATTCAGTCCATAATCCCATTTTCCACATATTAAGAGGAGCTTGCCTAAGGTTGCACAGTTGTTAAGCAGCAAACCTGACATCTAAACCCTAGTGAACTCAGAGCCCAGGCCGTTTCTTTTCTATTCTGTCCTAAAACCTGACCACTAGCATGGCAGTTGTGAGGCAGAGCTTAGATGAGAACCTGCAACATTGGAGGGACTTAGTATGTCAGTTCCTTTAGCTCATCATAGAATTCAGCTATGAATCAGCTTTAATTGACCATTTGCCAGATATTCTTAAAATATCTCTATTTTTCCAGTAAGATGGTCAATATTTATTTCAAAGGAAAAAATTTTTCTCTGCCTCTCCTATAAATCTCAAAGTTCTAATAATAAAGAAATCCTTTTAGAAACCACATGGAAGAACCAAAGTTTGATTATTACATTCTTCAGGAATGATGTTTAGATTTTTTTAACCTATGACTATACACATGTGTTTCTGCTTAAGATTCAATATTTACAAGACTGCTTCAGAATACTATAACAGAACCATGCAGTTGCCTATAGGACCTGTGACTTTCCTTTTTATATCTTTGCAAAGGGTTAAAAGACCACACATGGAAAGTATTAAACTTCCAAGATTATCATCAGTGACTGACTTGGGCTCCCATATCTAAGAAAAATCCTCCGAGATGCATATATTCATGTGCTGTCCTAGAATTTCACAAAAAATGAAATGAAAAATCTAAGGTGACACAAAGAAGAAAGAGCCACGCAAGGTAGAGTCCTACCACTGATTTGTGACTTGTAGCTCCATATTTCAAGCCAAACTGGAAAATGTCCATTTAATAGACACACATTTATTTTCAGTAAGTCCCAGATTCCTTTGGTTCCCACTACAGAGCCTTTTCAGATTTACTTTTGAGAATTATGATACAGAAAATTATCCAAGTTGTTTGCTGTCTTAGCCATGGCTCCCATAACAAACTATCACAGACGGGGTGGCTTAAACAACAGATATTTATTTCCTCACAATTTTAGAGGCTGGAATTCTGAGATCAAGATGGCAGCATAATTGAGTTCTGGTGAGGGCTCTTATCCTGGTTTGTAGACAGCTACCAACCAGCTTTATGCTCAGAGTGTAAACTCTCTGGCACACTTTCTTATAAGGGCACTAATCACATCACGAGGGCCCCACTCTCATGACTTCACCTAAACCTAATTATCTCCCAAAGGTCCCATCTCCAAATACCATCATTGGGAGTTAGAGGTTCAACATTAATTTTAGGAGACACAATTCAGTCCATAGCATTTGTTAAAAACTTCTTGGGTGAAACAAAAACATTATAATGTAGATTAATTCACTGGATTCTTAATTGTTCTCTTGGTTCTGAGATAAATTATGTGGTCCATCAATCGGGAACAAAGAAAAGGAGGATGGTCAGTTATGCCATCAGTAAATGTCTGAATGTCTACTATGTGCCAGGAACCATGGAAAGAAAAACAAATACCTCATTCTAGTGTGAGAGGCAAATATAAAAATATAATTTCAATACAGTGAATATAATCTACTTCAGTGAGGGCAATGGTCGCTTGGCTCCAACCAGACCTAACACAACACAAAACATTCTTCCTCACTATCAGGCTAGGGGGTCTACGAAAGTGTGGAAAGGGCAGCAAATATGACAGATGCTCAGGATTATCAACAAATTACCAAATGTGGGTACCTGGGACTCAAGCCAACCAGAAAGGGAGGGTATGAGGGAAGGTTTCCTGGAAAGATGTTGCCTGTGCTTTAATGGTCCTAGATCTTCCCACAGGCTTGCATTCTCCATTCCTTCCAGCAGGATGGCCTGGTGCTGCTGGTGGTGGTCTGTTTTGGAGATCCGAGTCTAATAAACCTCTAGGGCCATCTGGGTAGGTACTGGAGCCAAAGGCTTGGCAGGTTCAACCTTCTCTTCCATAGTGGGTACTTCTCAACTCAGAATCGACTTTCATTATGGTGGAATTTCTTCCCATTTTTGTGCAGCTGGCTCTTTCTCACTATCTCAGATCAAATGTCAGATGAGAGATATTCTCTGAATATTCTAAAGAAACTATTTCTTCCCAGTCCCTGTCCTCACCATCCCATTTTGACTGCACTGTACTTTCTACTACCTAAAATATTTATTAATTTACTTGTCCAATGGCTGCCTCCCACCCCTATGAGGCCCACTAGAGCAATGACCTGTCTGCCTGTTTCCAGTGTATCCTTTGCACTTGGTATGGTGCCCGGCACATAGTAGGGACTAAATAACTGCTGACTGACCAAACTCTATTTAATTAGAGGCTACTGTCAGGTAATGATCTCAAGCTTACTGCTACCACTTTTCCTTACCTATAGCCAATATATAGGGAATGTTTTAGGAATGAGATTACTGCAGAAGCTGTGAGAAAATGAGAAGTTCTCCACCAAGAGAACTTGGGGACAGTCCTGGGCACTGCCGCCCAGCGCGTCCCGTCCTCCGCTCCCCTTCCCTGCTCTTTTCTTCTCTTGTGCTCCCAGATACTCCGCTACTGGAGAGAAGAGTCTAAAGCAAAGGTTCTCAAAAAGAACAGAGAGGCTGAGATCAACCCTGTGAGGCTGCGAGGTTTAGGGAGCAAAGAGCAAGAAGGTAAGACGGGGAGTAGAGGATGGAACCAGGTTTTACAGGAGTAAAATGGTTGCACGGGGCACTAGCCATGCACCAAGGCACAGACGGCCAGAACACTAGCGCTGAATACGGCCATGCGGGAACTGCGCTCTTCCAGGAGCAGGGACAAGACACCCCGGCAATCTTTAAATCTAAGGGGAGCCCGGCCGGGCGTGGCTCAGCAGCTGAGCGTCGACCTGGGATCCAGGCGATGGGGGTCCGATTCCCGGTCAGGGCACATGCCCGGGCTGCGGGCTCGATCCCCAGTCAGGGGCGTGCAGGAGGCAGCTGATCAATGACTCTCTCATCACTGATGTTTCTCTCTCTCTCTCCCTCTCCTTTCCTCTCTCTGAAATCAGAGATGTATTTTAAAAAAAGATATATTTTTTTAAAATTTTAAAAATAAATCTAAGGGTAAAATGTGCCACATGGGGTCTACATGGAGTATGACTCCTTGGACCATCCACATAGAAGGAATATTCCTGCCCTTGGAGAGTATTTCCATATTATACGGCCAGGTCCAATGTAAGATTAGTATAAGATTAACCTGCGGAAGACGGGGCAGGAACCCTGAAGTGATGGCAATAATGGTACTTACCTCTGCTCTGCACTGTCCTAAGTTTAGGTGCACTATTGCTAAGTAGTAACAGAATTTCATAACCAAAGTTTTACTTCCATCTCTTCCCACTTGATAGCCCCAAACTGAAATTTCAACAGCACCATTAAAATCTTGGGCAATAAAGAAAATTACTTGATAAATTTGAAAGATATTTCCTTAGGTGCTTTTGGCGTTGAATATTTGCCTTAACCATATACCTCATTTTTACATAAAATATTTAGAACATTAATTTTATTTCCATGCCTTAAATCACTTGACACATCACAATGGTACCTTTCTTTTTTGGGTTGGGCAAGCACTCGGGCTCTTCTTTGACAGAGATTTTACAACTCTTTATCCGACAGAAAAAGGATCGTCTAGAGCCGGAGCACACACGAGTCCTCGCAGTACGGAAATTACTGTGAACTTGCAAACCAGCTTGCATAGGAGGAAGAGGCAAGAGAATAGGTAGAAAAGAGTATTTTCAAATAATTTTGAAATTTATCTCCTAACGTTTTTCTGATCATCTATTACATTTTTAAAAATAAATTAAAAAAGAGAAATGGTTATTTAAAATAATATCATTGTAAGCCAAGAAGTGAAACATACCAAAAAAATGTACTTGTCAAGCAATCATATTTTTGATAACTTACAAACTTTCAACTTATTTTTATTTTTCCCCCCAAGGGGTGGAGCATAAGGGTAATTTAAATGAAATAAAAATTAAAGAAAAAAGAAAAAAACCCTCAATTATAATAGTACTCAATGGCATAAAGCATCATTATTTTTATATTATAAATCATTACTTGGTACTAAGTATTTTCAGAGAAGGTAAATATTTTCAGAGAAAATAAAGAATACTGACAACTACCAAGCAAAATTATACAAGGTGTTTCATACTGAATAGACCTAACCCATGAGAGAATAATTATCTCTCAGCATATAGGTGAATAATTAAACTTCAGCCTGGCCAGTGTGGCTCGGTGGTTGAACATCAACCTATGAACCAGGAGGTCTCGGTTCAATTCCCGGTGAGGGCATATGCTGGGTGTCAGGCTCGATCCCCAGCAGGGGGCATGCGGGAGGCAGCCAACCAATGACTCTCTCATCATTGATGTTTCTATCTCTCTCTCGCCCTTTCCCTTCCTCTCTGAAATCAATAAAAACATATATTTTTTAAAAACCCAGCAATTTTTTATCTCAAAAGAAACTTTCTTAAGATTTTATTAGCATATGAAAAATAGCGAAAGTGAAGCAATCACACTTTCCTCAAAGCATCTTCCTATGAATACAGTATTTATTTCTATGTGTGTATGAATACAGGCATTCTCTATATACTTATACTGGTTTTTTAAACTCTGAGGTTGGTTATGAAGTTTACTACATAATTCTCCTTTTGATAAAACCATAATTAGCTAACTTCAAAAATACTGTATATCTGTACTTTTAAGTAATAAATATATTTACATGAAATGGTAAGCAAGCTGAGATGAGCACTTACTTTTGGCATCTATTAGCTTCTCTCTTGGCGAAATATCAGAAGAAGACAGTTGTTCCTTTACTTTGGCAACATCCTTTGGATGCAAGAAGTCAAATAAGCTCTGTCCAGTCAAACTAGCCTATTTACAAAGTAGACGTTCATTTCAAATCAGTAGCATAATTTTTCTACATTTCCTCAAACAGACATAATACTTTCTTTTGTTAAAGCTACTTTTAGTTCATCTCAAATATACATCTACTGCACTGTGTGACATTAACTTAGTGTTAAAAGTAGGGTCATGCTTGTAGATAGAAAAAAAATACATACGCACACAGAACCACGACTGGGTACATACAAACACCTAACCACTAATATTCTGTTTACTCTTATTACTCTTAGTAACACCCCCCAATTCATATATGGTACTTCTAAATCATATTATGATTTACTTTAAACTTTATCCTTGGTAAAAGTAAAGTGAGTATATTATAGTATCTTATGGAAGTCACAGAATAGCTGTGATTTTATGGTGCAACTTAGAGATTTACCATACTGTTAAAAAAAATTACCATACTATCGAAAAACAAAATCCAACCTGGGACGCCTCCCACTTCATTCCACTACTCCCAGTATGCAGAGCATTCCTAGGTCTGTGCCTTTGCCCCATGGTCTCATCACCTGGAATTCATTATTCTGTCTCTGCAAACTCAATTCCCTGGCCAATCCAGCCAATTGCCTTTGATTTCCAGACTCCCTAGATTCCCTCCCTCAATCTAAAATCTCTTCCTCACCTTCTCTGCACATCTTAAAGCACAGCAGACATTCTACTTTGTATGAGAAGTCCTCCCTGAGCCACCGTGACCACCCCTCTTCTGATCTCCTTTCCTTCCCAAGTAGATATTCCTATAGAAGGTAGAACAAATGGGCCAGATAGTACAAGCAGCCTGAATTGCTTGGCAGTTAGATACCTCATCTTTAAAAAAGCTAGCAATCTGCCCGGCCAGGCGTGGCTCAGTGGTTGAGCATCGACCTAGGATCCAGGAGATCTGGGTTCGATTCCTGGTCAGGGCACATGCCTGGGTTTCTAACTCGATCCCCAGTGGGGGGCCCGCTGGAGGCAGCCGATCAATGACTCTCTCATCACTGACGTTTCTCTCTCTCTCTCTCCCTTCCTCTCTCTGAAATCAATAAAAGATTTTTTTTTTTTTTTTAAAGCTGGCAATTTGATTTATACATCAGTCTATTGCGTGACTGGGTAATATAAATCTACACCGAGAACTCTGCTTTAGAGCAACAGGTTTCTGAATCTGAAAAGTGGACTAGACCCTGTGCTATGGGGATCCCAAAGTCCTCCTGAGCAGTCAATGAGTCTCATGAATGGTCTCTGAAATGCAAAGTCAGTGCTCACTGGGACTGGACTCCATGTCGCTATTTGGAACTTCAGTGCTACCTTGAATTGTTGATCATCTTAGTGTGTGTGATGTTCTCTATTTCCAACCAGAAGACAGAATGGTCAGGAATTGCCCTGCTTTTATGCCACAGCTATAAGCAACTGCATGATCATTTGGTCCTTCCTTCTGAACGCAGGCTCACAGTATCTTTCTTTGTTATGTAGCTCATTATCTACGGGCGCCTTCTCTCTTAAAATTTCCAAGTTAGGGGGAAAGACAGGCTGAAATTAATGGGAGTTATTTAAGATGAAATCTTTGGGCTATGAGATTTCTAAAAGGAGACCACAGCTGCTAGTTTATTCATGCTGTTGGATTATTTTCAGTGCTGTAGTTTGGGTAACTAGTTTAAATTAAATGGTTTTCAGTGATGACGTAAAGCAGTTACACAGCTAGTACATAAAAGATGAATTTCAGAGTTTGTCGCCAAAACTTAGATCAAAAGCGGTTGTGCGATGCATATAACTTAGTAATAAGTAATCTCGCTCTTGGAGGAAACAGAGAAGGGCGACTAATATTTTTTAGATGCTCTCAAATATGACAGTTTATTTAATCTTTACATCCTGAGAGAAATATATAATCATCATTTCCACTTTTTACATAAGAGGAAGCTGAGATTCAGGGAAATGAAATAAGTTGCTGAAGGTCAGGATATGAACACTCTTGTTAGAAATGGCAATCCGTACTCCACCCATCTTTCCATCTCTCCTGGAGTTCTAACTTAGCAAACCTACTCCCACAGCCCAATGGAAAAGGCTCAGAGAGAGAGCTTTGAATCTGCTTGTTCAAAAAAACTAAACAGTGTGTGAATAATATCCTGTTTTGCATACCTGATCATAATTAAGTATTTTGGAGACTGACTTAGAAACAAAGAGAATTTTTCCTCTTTCACATCCAACCACAAACAGGAAGCCTTCTGCAGTCTAGGATATAAAAATATAAAAGTAAATTTTTAAAATATCATCTGTCTTTTTCACACACACGCATTTAGTATCTGAGGAAATTATTGTATAAATAAAACAGAGTTGTCATAGATGTAGTAAAATTAATTTTAAGAAATTTTCAGATGTATATAAACAAATTTGTAAAGAACATCAAATCGGGCCCCTGTCTGAATTAATGTTTTTCACATGGAAAGTTCAGCCAGGGAATAGTGAGTTGAAATATTCTGTAATATAAACATTACCTATACCAAATTCCACACTACTGCACACAAAAACTCTGTAAAGATATCAAAATATCAATAAAGTGACTGCCTGTGCATGTGTGGAGATGGAAAGATGTGCAGACTGGGGATCAGGAAGGGGTGAAAATATTTTACTCTATACCTTTTTATACTTTAATAATGATAAGCTTATAAATCAAAACTTAAGTTTTAAGAATTCTAATATATCAGCTACACCCTCTGTAAATCCTGTGAAGCAATCTGTATGGAAATAGATACTTATGGACACATAGGATGAGTCTGGCGCTCCCACATGACATTTCTTAAACTGATGTTCACCAACTGGAAACAAGCATGGGGTGAATTAGGCAAATATGTTCTACAGGGGCAGAACCAGGGTTATATTAAGTTACAGTTAAAAAAATAAAAATTTTGAAAGCTTTCTTGCCAAATATTTTTTGGCAAGAAAGCTTCCAAAGCATATAGAACATTTCACTGTCTTTAAAAATATTTTTGTTATCTGAAAAAAATCCTTTATATTCCTGTTAGGAATATTATACTTAAATTCAGCTGTTCAAATAAAAGGGCTTCTAAAAGGAGAAAAGTTAAAAGAAAAACAGATAAAAAAATATATGAAAAATCTTCTGTGTAATCATACTATGGCTTAAAGCCCAGTAGTCATAGCATAAGATCAAGATACTTCTTACCTCCTGGGGGCAGGATGAGCCAATGGCATGGTCATATTTTCCATGTCAAATAAACCTCTAGACGGGTAAACCTGAAAACCCATGCCAAAGCATTGCCTAAAAACTCATTAAGTAAGCAGTGAGTGGCTAATGGGCAGAGAACAGGATCCTGAAAGAACACGATATAAGACAGATGGCTCTGAAGGAGGTAATAGTGAGGAATAGAACCTACCATATGGGAGCTGAGTGTGTTAGACGAAGGAGCTTAGCATTAAAGACAAGCCTTACTCATATTTTAGAGTGTGCCTAGCTTCCCTCTCTACTTTCCTTAGCCCAAACTAATAAGATATGGTTACTTGCGTAAGTTAAACTTTATTTTAAAGGAAATTCAGTGTACTATAGAGTCCTGTATGTTTGTTTATAACAGAAAGCAAACTGAAGAAAATCTGCCTCCCATTTAACTAAAAATGAAAGGGCAAATACAACTTATACAAATATATTTCTTTACTCACCTTAAGGATTAAGTGTCTGAGCTCATTATCCTGAATAAACGAAGGTCGATAAATATCTCCTGCAAAAGAATTTGTCATACCTAAAAATAAACAAGTCAAAAAGTTACTGAAAATAAGAGTAGGGTTGGAAATGTAGTAGGTGCTCAATAAACATTAGCAATGCTGTCACTGGTGAGGATGGTGATGGTATTTTCCCTTTTAGCACATTCTAAGACCTCTTCTGTATTCCTTTTCTTTCTTTGTTATTACTAGACTAAAAATTCCTGCTTTTATTTTTATTTTTTTACTGTCAACATATGTTTATTTTCTTTCTTTCTTAAGTTTATCTTTATTGTTGAAAATATTACAGATGTCCCCTTTTACCCCCACTGATCCCCTCTACCCTGCATCCATCCCACCCCCAGGCCTTCCCCAGACCAGTGTCTGTGTCCATGGGTTATGCTTACAAACATATAGATTCCCTGATTAATCTCTCACCACCCACTCCCTCCTCCCCACCTTCCCTCTGAGATCCCTCAGTCTGTTCCATGCTTCTATGTCTCTGGATCCATTTTGTTCATCAGTTTATTTTGTTTATTATATTCCACATATAAGTGCGATCATGTGGTACTTGTCTTTCTCTGACTGGCTTATTTCACTTAGCATAAAACTTTTTAGTTCCCTCCATGCTGTACCAAAGGATAAAAGATTCTTCTTCTTTACAGCTGCATAGTATTTCACAGTGTGAATGTGCCACTGCTTGCTTGCTTATTTATTTATTTATTTATTTATTTATTTATTTATTTATTGCCACAGCTTTTTTATCCACTCATCTACTGATGGGCACTTGGGCTGTTTCCAGATCCTGGCTATTGTAAA